GAACTAGGAGCTTTTTCAAGTGTCCACATGTCTAGCATGGCATCAGGGAACTGGATCAGAATTGGAACAGTGGAATTTGAACCAGTGCCCACATGGGATGCTGGTGTTACAGAACTGACTTTATCCTTTACATCACAACACCAGCCCCATAATTAAATAAATAATTTTAAAATAGAAAAAAAAAGGCTAAGTTGAATGTTGCTTTTTCTGCTTGTGTAGAGGATTCTAAAAGTTACTTTGCCTCTCTGTGCACCAAGTTCAGCTTACTTGTCTGTAGGATGGGGAACTTTCCCCATCTTGCTGAGGTAGGGTGAGGTGGGAGCAAGCATGGCTGCCATCAGAGGAAGGTGCACATCTCAGAACTAACTTCTGCTGCTATTGCCAGGGGATAGGATCGGAAAAATACTGGAATCTGATATTTTTCCCCAGTTCAGAACCCTAGACTCTGTTGTTTTCAAAATTATGTTCAGACTTATGTTTAACATCCACCTGTGGTTGAAGTATGAATCAATCAAATATATATTTATGGGCCCCCAACTACATGTCCAGTACTGGAACTGTCCAGGGAGGAAGAGGATGTGCACAGAAGTATAAATGTGGCAGTTGGCAAGGGAGGGTTAGCTAACACAGCCCGGTGCTGGCTTCCCTGCTTAATTTGTATTTAACTTTTTCTAAGTGTTTTCTCTAGTCTTGATTGTGTTAAACACTATGAATAGAAGAGAATGAAGGCAGGCTAGATCCCTATTTTCCTAGTACTTAATATTCCAGCAAAGGAAGAAATATAAAATAAGCCACTTACCAGCTACACAGTTAAGATGGGTGAAATGTAGCATGTGTAAATGATACCTTCTGAAAGCTATTTAAAAACACAGCAACCTGATGCTTCTGGAGCTAATACTCAGGTTTGCTCTAATACATTTGTCTTCTTTCGTTTTTCTGGATTTTGTTTTTGCAAATTCATTGACTTCCTAAAATGTGTTTGTAACCCCAGAATCAGTCTTTGACATCTGTGGTTATTCACAGACATTTGCAGAAAGACAAAACTCTTGAATTGCCCCACAGGTCGATGGGAAGCCTTCTCTGTCCTGTTCAGCTCTTGACACACTGTGAACTAGTGTAATTTTTGCACTCGTGTTTTCTGTGTCCTTGTTGCTGATTTCACTGTTTTAAATGACAGGAAGTGCTTTCTGGTGCTCCTAAATGTGAGGCTGTAATGTATTTCAAGGATGACACAAGTGTTATTTCAGCCTTGTTCGGGTGTGTTACATAGAGTAATGTTGCCCTTGAATTCAGTGAGTTCCTGACATATATTATTATACAGTTGTCTTGAAACAGAAATACACATAATGGAAGGTCATGTTTTGATCTGTTGCAAATGAGACCAGAAGTTTGTTGGCATCTCGCCTTGTGTTTCTGGTAGAAGCAGTGCTTCCATCTTGGCTGGTTTGGTGTTCATTGTGACTTGACAGAATGTGACTATTGTGATTTGTCTGAGAATTGACTGTGTCCACAGCTTAGGGTAAAGGTAAATGTGGGCCCCCATTCCACAGGTCTACCTTCTGTTATTTTTTAAAAGAAAGGATTCTCAATCTTGACTGCATCTTGGAATGCTCTGGGAAGGTTGAACCATCAGGGCCCAGGGCATCAGTTCAATGTTCTGGGAAGGTTGACCTATCAGGGCCTGGGCATCAGGATTTGCAGAGTTCCTCCTTGGACTCTTGGGCAGCTAGGGCTGAACACGGTGTGCTGCGGTACTCTGCACATTGAGCAATGACCTACCTTGGAGATGGACTCTAACTCTTTGGAGCCTCGTTATCCAGGGAGTGACTCTCTGGACACCTGTTAGTGCTCCCTAGTTGGGGCAACAGGGGTCATGCCAGGACACTGTGGATGGACAGATGGACAGATGGCACCAGCCATCACCTCCTTCACTCCCACACAAACTCCAGAACCCAGGGAACGATCCCCAGGCATCCTGGGGAGAAAGGCTGTCCTCAGATCATCCTTCTTGAATAGCTCACTCTGAGGAGACAAAGTTTGTCTTTGAGGGCATCATGGGGGATCCTAGTGTGGAGGGTCAGGTGATGGAGGCAAGGCTGACCATTATGATGGGGGTTCAGTGGGAGAGTGACTGTGGCTGGGTGTTGGTCAGGGTTGTGCTTAGGCAAAGCTGGGTTCAGGTGGTTTAGCTGCAGGTCGGGTCTAGAGGGGAAGACTGTTGGTGACAGAAGAGAGTGCCAGTGAGTAGCAAGAGAGTGGCACCTGATAAAGAGGAAACCAGAGCAGTGGACTGAAGCAGATGCAACTTCTTCACATTTTTTTTTCCATCTTGTTCAGTGAGTGGTTGTGGACTGTGGTGTAGTGGTCACGGGGTGGGGGTGGTAAGGTGGATAGTTTGTGAGATGGTCACAGCTTCTGGGAACTGTGAAGAGTGTGTGGAGGTGATAATATAGAAGAGAGGCACGTAGGCTCTCACATGAGAAGAGAGCAGGCCCCAGGGCAGCTAGGAGGGTTTGTGTGGGAGGTTACAAGGGAAGATGACTGAGAGTCTCATCAGTAGAACCCTGTTGTGCATACATGTATGTGTGGCTGTGTGGGAGAAGTAGAATATGAAATGAGACTAAAATCCTAGAAGGAGCTAGCAAATAGATTTTGGCTGAAATCAGGCATGTGTATTCTGAAGAGAATGCAGATAATTGAATGCCAGGTAGGTAGGGAACCTAGAAAAATGATCCTTCTCTTATTTCAGAAGTAGAGAGACATATCAAGGGTTCACATCCAGATTTCTCCCAAATAACTGAAATGGGTCTCAGGAACCCAATTTGGGTCTCTCCTGAAGGGATCTGAGCCACCACCTGCTGCCTTCCAGATGTGCATTGCAGGAAGCTAGAAGCAGAGCTGCTCCTTGAATCCAGGTAGTCTAATACAGACTAGGGATGTCTTAACCCTGTAGCAACCGCTAGTCCAAATACCTTCCCTGAAAAGGGTCTTAGGGACCAAGTAATGAGGTGCTCAGTTGGGGAATGGGGCGGACCTGTGTGTTTGGTCAGGGCTTTGTTTCCAGAGCTTGTTTCCATTGGGCTTCCCCTACAAGCTGGACAGAACATGTGGGAGGCAATGGTACTAACCCCTACACAAATGCATGAGAAGACTCCTGGGCTGTGTTGCCTGTGCCTGGTAAATGACAATACAGGGCAGTGGTTCTTATTATCTCTAGACAGTTGCTCCCTAAAGGAGAGGGCTGTCTGGCGTGTAGGCCAGGGATAGTCACCTATCACTTCCGGGTCAGGAGTGGGAGTGTCAGGAGCTGCATTGTAGTGGAGCAATTAAGCTGCAGCCTGCAGCACTGGAAATCCCATATTGGAGCTTTGGGTCAAGTCCTGGCGGCCTACCATCTGATCCTTACTGATGCACTTGGAAAAGCAGCAGGGGAGAGCCCAGTGTGTAGGCCCCAGCACCTACATGGGAGACCTGCGTGGTGTCCTGGCCTCCTGATTTTGGCCTGGCCCTGCCATTGTGACCATTTGGTAGGTGAACCAGCTGATGGAACTACTGTCTCTGCCTCACCTTCTCTCTTTGTCAGTCTTCCTTTCAAATAATAAAAATGAATAAGCAAATAATAAAATAAATAACTAAAAAATAAGTGAATATTAAACAACAGCATCTGAGAGACAAAGGGGGTCTGTAATGTGTTACTCATTGGTTCTCATGGCAATTTGGTCATGATAACATGTGTTTGCCCTACACCCTCCCCACACTGCCCATCTTTCAGACCTCTTTGGAAGGGAACCAGCAACTCTTTATTAATGAGTCTCCAGGGTTTCCTGGGAAAGGCCTGCTCCTATCTAGGCCTCATGTGTGGCCCAGGACAGCAGGGATGATGACTGCCAAACCCCAATTTTCATGAGCCTGACAGGAGCCCAGAGATGAGGTTCTGCAAATACCCCCATTTTTATATACAGAAACTGAGGCTCAGGATATAAGGTTATTTGCTTGGCCAGCAAACAGCACAGCCAGCATTTGAACTCAGATATTCCATTCTTGAGTCCAGACATCAAATTCCCACATTTTATCATCTCTGCCTTGCTGGCTGAACTGTCAAGATACTGACCTGACCATTAATAGCTTGCTTGCTTGCTTTCTTCTTTCCTCCCTCCCCCTCTCTCTCCTTCCCTCCCTCCCTCCCTTCCTTCCTTCCTTCCTTCCTTCCTTCCTTCCTTCCTTCCTTCCTTCCTTCCTTCCTTCCTTCCTTCCTTCCTCTTTCTCTCTCTTTCTCTTTCTTTCTCTTTCTTTCTCTCTTTCTCCCTCTTTCTTTCTTCCTCTCTTTCTCTCTTTGTTTCTTTCCTTCTTTTCCTCTTCCACACCACAGCTGATACCTTAAAGGCATCTTTTGAAATCAATAAACCAGCAGTGTAGGTATTACCTGTCCTGTGCATCAGGGTACAGGGGTCAGGAAGGGGATGTGAAATAAGCAGCTGAATTTCTGTGTTTCTGAAGCTCAGGGTAAGGTTTTTAGGGCTGCTCTCCAATGTGCGGGCAACCAGAGACAGGGAAAGCTCAGCCTGGACCTGAGATTTTCCAAGACCATGACTTTACTGCTTCTGTCTTCCAAGATTTTGGGTGCACAGAACAAACTTAATAGATACTTGACTGAGTGAATGAATGAATTAATGAGTGGCAGATAAATTTGTGCCCTCTGCTTGTGAGCCGCCAGCCTGCCAAGCCTAATTGTTTCCTTCCTTCTACAGCAAGTCCCAGTCTCTATAGCATCTGGTGCCCAGGGTTGTTTTGATTTTAGCATAGGTATTGGGAAGGACGTCATTCAAGAAAAATGGAACAAAAGCCTGTGCTAACTGCACAAAGGAAAGCTGTTTGTACCAGAGGTCCGTGGGTCTGAGGTAGAAAAGGGCTGGGCCCTGGGAGCTGGTTACAGGCTCCACGTCTTTCTTTTGGTATGACTAAGAAGTTCAATTAGATCTTTTTTTCTCTCTGTTTTACAGGTCACAGCCAAAACTGCCTTCCTATTTATTTTACCTCAGTACAACGTCAGTGTGCCTACAGCAGGTAAGGAAAGCCCTGATCCCCAAATCCCTCTGGCCCTGACAAGCCCAGGGGACTTGGGGAAACTTCCTTTGCCCCTGCACATACTTACTCTTTGTAAACCGTTAATCTTTGTGACCAGCATCCTTTCACTATTGAGATAACTGTGGTGCAGGCTTAACAGCTGGGAGCATCCCTCTTTCTGCCACAACCATCAGAAGAAAACTGTAGAGCCCTAGGGTGCCATGTGGGGTTGGGACTCCTTTCCCTAAAGCACCCAATGTTGACTTGTGCTGGAGACACAGCAGGAGGCATGAGGCCAGTGGGTCCAGGCTCAAGAGGACAGCCTCCTTTTTAATCCTCTCTATGTAGAGAAGAGGCAGGATGTTGCAGTTCCTTAGTGTGTGAAAACACAGCTGAGGGACAGAGTGCTGCACTGTGACCGGGCTGGGGTCAGGAGTAAACCGCAGGCTCACACATGTTTTGTAGGACAGTCAGGAGGCAACAGACCAGAGCTGCTACATCCTCAGCTGGCCTGCAGGAGCTGAGGTTTCCTGGGGTTAACAGGAAGTCTAGCTCTCATTGTCGGATGTAGCTCAGACTTCACAAGCACTCCTCAGCCCAGCGGGGAAGGAGCTGTAGGGCGAGGCAGCTCACAGCTGGGCTGCACTGGGGAGAGCATCCTCTAAAGAGGTGGATACTGCTCTGTAGACCCTCGTGTGGCTAAGGCCTTCGATTTCCTAACTCTCCCTAAGAGAACCACAAGAAAGCTCTCATTAGGTAGAAATAGCCTAATCTTTATGTGTTGGAAACAAACTTGGAAATTTTACAAACGAGATGTAGGCAAACATTCTGTGGCTCAAATAACACATCTGCAGATCAAGTCTAGCCCTGGGAGCTGTGGGTCTGAGGCCTTGGTTTTCTCAGACCGCACCACCAGATCCAGGAGTCACTACTGCTCAGTAGTAAAGCACTGGGAATCCTCTTGAACAAATGAAAGATTATTTGCTGTCTGGTTGTCTCTACATTCTCTAGTGGAGCAGTGAATTTCCTTGACTTGAAGTTGAGATTCCTTCCTTTGTCTGACCTGCCAGTTATTTGCTGTGAAGACTTTGGCAGAAGGTTCTTGAACCTGTAACCTGTGGAGGCCAAAGCTAACCTTTCACTGTGAATCCTATCATGTCTTCATTGGTTTAATTAATTAAGCCTTCTAGGCAAACGTAAGGGGACCTTTGAAAGCTTGTGGATAATAAAATTAAAAACCAAGTTTCCTGAAGTGTAAACACATTTTTGAAATCTGCACATACATGGCATATTTGAAGAAAGCTCATGGAAAATGAATGTTATGAAAACACTGTGTATGGATTCAAAAATTGCTTTTCATCAAAATAAACATCTTTTTATTGCATAATTTAATATTCCACGAACTTTTTGAAGCACATTTGTAAATGTCTGCCTATTGTGGGCCAGGCCTTGGGTATAAAGTAGTTAATAAAACTTGTCTTGCCTACAACTTCATAAATATTTTCATGCATTAAGGATGCATAATAAACAAATAAACTGTCAATAATAGCTGTGCTAGGGTGGTGAAGAAATCTGTAAGATTGTATGACAAGGAGAAATAGGGTGAGAAAGAGAAGATGCTCTAGGGATGCTGACTTTGTTGAGGGGGTGTCACAGAGGGGTCTGGGCAGAAGAAAGGACATTCTGTGCCTGGGAATCGGCATTTGCAAAGGCTCTCAGGTCAGGAACAAAAACACCTGATGCCTATGTGATAGCATCAGCCAAGTGTGGAATTTTCCAAGGTGAGTGTTCGGTCCCAGACGTCAGGGAGGTCTGGGTCAGGGTGAATTAGGAAAAAAAAATCCATGCTTAATTGAGCAGGTTTTAGTTTCTTGAGAAAGGGAGGATAAAGTAGTGTTTAAAAGCCTATCTTTTGTTTAAATCTTGCCATTTTGGAGCTGTTGGAAATGTGACAAGTAAATAAATAATTAAGAGAGAAGTGAAATCAGAGTAGCCTGCTTAATTTTGTTCTGAGCTCCTAATCACCACCAACCCAATATGGTAATGTTTGGTTTGTAAGACCTGGAAGAAGGCAAACTTCTCATGGGGGTGAAGGAAAAAATAACAGTTTACAATAACAGGTCTGTCAAGGTTGTGATTTTTTTTTAAAGTTTCCCCAAAAGTATCTTCAGACCCAGACGTGAGAGAAATTCACTTTTTTTTCTATCCCCAGGTCAACTCTGATTTCTAAGCTTTCATTTTTACCTAGTGTGTAACTTACTCAAGTCAGTGTGTAACATTGCATTTGAGTAAAGCAACAGCTGTTTTCATACAGAGGGCTCAATATTTCCAAATTTCCGTGTCTTCCTCAGCAGAGGCTTTCGAAAGCAAGGGTGTTGCTAAAGCGGTTTTTTGGTTACTTTGTTTTGCAGTAACTCCCTCTTCCCTGCTCTCTTCCTCCCAGGTTCCATTATGAGGTTTCCAGGGCTTTTGTAAGGAAGGTACCACAGAATGACATACATAGCAGATACCAGCAGTGCTACGGTTTGCAGGCTAGACATCCCAGGCAGAAGTGCCGGCTGCCCATGCCCCCTGTGAAGGCGTTGGGACAGAATCTGTTCCAAGCTTGGTTCAAGGCAGCATAGTACCAATCTGTCCACAGCTTTCTGTGTATTTGTCAGTGTCTGTGTCCCCATTTCCCCCTTTAAATGGCCAGTCATTGGATTAGAGTCCCTTCCACTTAATTGTGACCTCATCTTTTATTATTTATTATCATTTTATGATACAGTTCCATAGACTCCTGGGATTTCCCTTATCTCCTCCCCAATTCCCCCCCACCCCCAGTTCCTCTATATCATTACTAAAGTATAGTTCTTCATACATAGTCACATGTCCGTCATTGCGGGCATGGATAATGGCAGAGAGTCCAGCATCCTATTGTCAAGATAGAGTAAACAGTTTCATTGTAAGTCCATATTTGTCTACAAGTAGAGATGCATACTGCGTTGTATGCTCACATCTGGATATGTTAGTCTCCATTTCAGAGTTACTGTATATCCCCTTAAATGAAAAGTCGCAAAACAAAATCAACAATAGAAAGAAAAATAGAAATTTACAATGCCATGAAGTTAAATAACATGTTACTAGATATGGCAACAATGCCATGAAGTTAAATAACATGTTGCTAGATATGGCAATCTCCATTACACAGCTACTATACATCCCCTTAAATGAAAAGCCACAAAACAAAATCAACATCAGGGAGAAAAAAGAAATTAACGACACCATGAAGTAAAATAACATGCTACTGAATGACGAATGTGTCGCTGAAGAAATGAAAAAGAAAATCAAGAACCTTCTTGCAGAAAATGATGCTATTCTATGATCTATGAGGCACTGAATAATTTAATCAGAAGAAACTGTTGAAACCAACAAAAACAAAAACATCAAAATCCGTGAGATATAGTTTCCACTGATTTTTGTTGGTGAAATGTGTCTCTTCTAGACAAGAAATAGATGGGTTTTGTTTTTTAATTCAATCTTCTAATCTGTGACATTTGATTGAGCTTAAGCCACTTACATTCAGGGTTAATATGTACAAGTGGTAATTTGGTCCTGTCATTTTAGGATTGGGTTGTTCATTGATTTAATCTTCTGTTATTTTACTGAGATGTTCTTCACATTTGCCTTCTTCACATTTGGTTTTGTTGGGTGCTATTCTTCTTCTCTGTCAAAAGAACATCTTCAAGTATCATTTGTAGGGCAGGTTTGGAAGAGGCAAATTCTTTTAACTTTTCTTTACCGTGGAAGAATTTTATTTCATTTTCAAAGACAAAAGAAAGCTTTGCTGGATATGTTATCCTGAGCTGACAATTGTTTTCTTTTAGAGTCTGGAATATGCCATTCCATTCTCTTCTTGCCTGTAGAGTTTCCTGTGAGAGATCTCCTGTGAGTTTAATTGGCATTCCTTTATATGTCAATTGATTTTTTTCATGTGCACATTTAAGGATCTTTTCCTTATGTTCAATTGAAGAGAGCTTGATGATCATGTGTCGTGGTGAAGATTGCTTTTGGTCAAGCCTGTTGGGAGTTCTGTGCCTCTCCTGGATCTTGTTTCTCAATTCTTTCTCCAGATTAAGAAAATTTTACCTTATTATTTCATTAAATACATTTGCAAACTCAGCTTCTCTTTTTGCACCTTCTGGGACTCCCATAACTCTTCTTTTTGGCCTCTTCATAGTGTCTTTCAGTTCTTGAATACTTTTTTTGGCCTGATCCAGCTCTGCTTCCAGCTTTTTGTTTGCTTCCTCCTGATGACAGGAAATATCTTTCAATTCTGAGATTCTTTCTTCTGCTTGCTTCATTCTGTTTTGAAGATTCTCCACTATACTTTTAATTTGCTCTACTGTGTTCTTAATTTCTGATGTATCAGCCTTCATTTGCTTCATCTTAATCAGCAAAGACCCTCTTTTCACATAAGGTCACATTTACAGGAGCTGGACTTCAACCTATGAATTTGGAGGGGAGGAGAGAAACACAGGCCCAGCTCAACCTGTAACACATTTCTGATTTGGTTGCATTTTTTATTGGATTAAGGAAATCCGGCTGCGTTCAGAGGAGTAGTGAGTAAGCTGAGGGCCTCTGGGAAGCCTTTGCCATGCTGGTGTCCTTGTGCTTTCCTTTAGGTTCAACGAGGATGAAGCCAGAGATGGTCCTTTTTTTTTAAACCTAATCCCTTCCCTCTTTCCTACCTGTCACCCTCTTGGGATTGACAGATGCAGCAAATAAAAATCCAAGACTGATAGTTGCATTTGAATTTCAGACAAATAATGAATGCATGTTTTGAAGTGTAAGTATATCTCAGACTCTGCATGAGACATAATTATAATAGAAAATTATTCTCTGTTATCTGAAATATAAATGTAACTAGCCATCCTGTATGCATTTTATCAGGCAACCACATTCCGTGCCCATCTTCTGCAAGGCATAAAATGTCAGGCTTTTGGTGTTGAGTTTAGACA